CCTGAGCTCCCAAAGGGGCACTGGAAACTTGAGAACCTACAAAGAGACCCAGCTTTGGTTCTGGGGAGCTGCTCCAGCCAAGGAAACCCCAAAAAGCCAAGGAATTCCTGGATTCCTGGCTTCAGCAGCACAAGATCTTCCCAGACAGAATTCCTGCTGGAAGATCCATGGCAACAGAGCAAGGAAAGAGGGGAAAGGAAGAGGGAGAACTCCAGGGATAAACAGGATGGGACAACACAGCAAATCTCCAACATTCCTGGGAGACTCCAGGAAGGAAAAAAGGGAGGAGGAAAAGGATTGATGAAAACAGCACAGTTTAAACCCAGTTTTTATTATTTCCCCATCACATGCCACCAACAGGGAGTTTATTATTCTGGGCTCCTTGGGCTTGCAGAGTGCAAGTGGATTTTAAAATGAACTAAAAAATGATGAATCAAAATAGCCTGAGAGGTTTTTAAATCCTTTATAGCTGATTTATTAATTAATTACTGTGCATGTTGCTTTTAATCCACTCATCCAGACATGAGATACAGTTCAATATTCATCACACTCCACGGGATTTTCCAATCTTTCTCATCAAGGGCTTTCCAGGAGGTTTTCTTTGTGTGAAGGAACAGAAATTACAGTCTTGAGCTTCCCCAAAACATGGATATATGAAAAAATCTACCAGTATCATAAAAGGCTTCAAACCATTGCGCCAAAAAATGGGGAAAACCTTCCCCATGTGAGAAATTAAAGCTGTAACAGTAAGTAGGGACTCCACCTAAAATCCAGGAAACTGGAATAAAATCTTTCCCTCTGGACATCATTCCTTATTTTCTCCACTGCAGAAATTGCATGGAAAGATCCCTCAGGGATGGGAAGAATTTGTGGAATTGATATTGCAGTGCTTCCACCAGAAATTGAACTCAAATTGCTGATTCCTCTGGAATATCATCCATAAAATATGAATTCCAGGCCATTATTTTGGGGTGCAGTGGGAGTTTTGTCACTTTTCTTGTGATGGTTAATTGTGGTCTGGGGAGTTTTTCCTCCCCAGGGGAATATTTATTGCATGTAAGGCTCTGTCCTTACTCTGTCAGCATTTCTGCTCCCTCCCCTCCCGTGGCGTCCTGGGAAATGTGGAGATCCTCCAGCATTTCAGCCAGGCTGATCCGTGGAGCTCCATCATCATCTGTGTCACTCTCCACTGGAATATCTGCATCTAAAAACACAAAGAAACCCCCCCCAAAAAAAACAGTCAAGCAAAGAAAACAAACCCCAAAACACCACAGCAACCCCAAGGGAAAATAGGGAAAAAAACCAAACCAACAATGCCAAAACAATCAACAAACCACAAACTCAACTAACCAAAAATTCCTCCTGAAAACATAACAGTCCTCTCATGGAAAAATAATGAATTCTGTGTCAAATCCCTCCCCCAGCAGAGATTTTGTGTGCAGGAGGAACGTTCCTTTTCATTTTAAAGGCAAGGAAACAAAACCCCTCAGGTGAAACACATCTGTGAAATACTCTGCAGCATTTTTCCAGGCATGAATGGTTTGAAGCATGATACTCTGCAGCATTTTTCCAGGCATGAATGGTTTGAAGCATGAAAAATAGAGAATTTCAGTAAAATTATTTTGCCTCAAACACAATTTAAACATGATTTAATTACACCCAATGGAGGAATTAAAAAGGCCTTACTTCTGTAAATGTTGACATTCTTCCGTATGTTCTCATCCTCCTCCAGATCTTCCAGGAAGTCCTGGTATTGTCTGTGAAAGATGTGGGATGTATTTACTCACTGTTCCTTTGGATTTATGGAAATTCATACAACAAAGTAAAATCACAGAACCCAAACCCCATCAGACCTGAGAGCATTCCTACATTTCCAGCTCATTCTTGCTGTTTTATCCTCACCTATCAATTCCCAACTCATTTATCTCTAATTTTCTCCTCTTTCCCACTCAGCTGGAGGTTATTTAGAAGCTGCTGCTGCTGCTGGAGCAGCTTTGTCACTGAACAAGGAGAGCAGATACTGAACCTTTCATCATCTGTGTCCGTGGCTTCCCTGTCCCTTTCCAGCTCCTTCAGCTTCCAGTTCCTGCGGCGCTGCCGCTTGGAGCGGTCATAGCTCTTCTTGATCAGCACCTGCAGGGAAAAGCAGCCCCTTTTTCCACCTCCCAAAATCCCAAATCAGCACCCAAATCCACATTTGGGTGTCTAAAACCAGCTGGACTGGCACTCAGCAGTGTTATATTGAATTTACAGGGAATCTGTTGGTTCAAATGTTTCTAAACACTTGGAAAATGGTCCTGAAGAGACAGGCACAGAGCTGGAGTTATGAAAGTTTTCAGCAGCCAGGGATTGGTAATTGGAACAAAAACAACAATGAATGAATTATCTAACCATGGGAATTGGAAAAAAAAAAAACAAACCAACAATATATGCATAATTTAACCATCACTCAAATATTTGAGGAAATAATCCTTCAAAATCAGATGATGCTCAGATTTCACTGTTAAACTCCTCTCTTCCTTCAGACACTGTTCATTATAAAATCCCACTCCCTCCCAGCCTTGGGGAATGGAGAGAACTTTGGGCAGAGAAAGGCATTTTCTTACCACATCAGGAATATGTTGGGGGTTCATCTTGTTGGCAAATTCATCATTTAAGTTGCAGTTGGCCAAGTCGAAGCTAAAACAGAAAGAGGGGTTTTATTCTGCTTTATACAAATCCCCCTGACCTGAAAATGTTTGTGTTCAAGGGCAGCACAGTGCCAGGTGCAGCTCCTCAGGAAGGGAAATATTCCCAGATGAAGGCAAACAAATAAAAATCCAGATTAATGTGCAGCTTTCATGAGTCTGAGCAGCTGCTGTTCCCAAATCCTGTTCTGTTGCACTTCTGGAATCCAAACTGCAATGTGCACTGAGGTTCTGCTGGGCTAACAACGTTCATGTTTAAGCCTTTTTAAGCATCACTTAATTTGCCTGGCTTTACAAACATTTCATATTTGTTTTCACTCTATATGATATTCATTAGCAAACAAATAACTGGTATTTTAAAAATCCTTCCCATCTACTTGTGGCTAAACTGTGATGCCAAGCTGCACTCTGAAGGCAATCTGAACTCTGAGCTGCACTCTGAAGCCTCAGCTCTTATTTCTAACAATTTTTACAAGAAAACTCCTTCTAGAAAAGAGATTTCCCTGGATTTGGACCAGGATGGTTCCACCCCTTTTGCTGCTTTCATTTTGAAATCAGAACAGTTCAACACTTTCTTGATAACACATGAATTCAGTCACTAAATAATCATTTAATAAAAGGTTCAGAAAAGAAGAACAGACCCCAAGACCAGGTCCCCAGGATTCAGGATGTGCCCCAGGTGAGTACAGCAGAAATACTGGTGATCCGTGTCCAGCTCCGAGGTTTTCCTGACCCAGGCTTCAGCCAGAGTGTGCTTTGGGAATGGAAAAGAAAACATTCCTTAAACCAAACCCAGCATCTGCACTGATTTAAACTCCACTTGTCATTAAACTTGTGTTTCTGCATCAAGTATCCAAGGTATCCCTTGCTACTCCTCATTTCTCATTAAATAAAAGGGAATGGACACGGCAACTCCCAGGAATTCCCAGGGGCTGGTTCTATAAATAGACACCTATTTTAGCTTTTAACTGAGGAGATCCATTAATTGTGATTAAAAAGAACCAATTCAGTCATTAGAGCTGCAAAGTTAATATTTCAATACCCAGTAACAAGCAGAGTTCAGAGTCTTCAAGAAGAATTCCTGGAAGTGGAATTCACATTGTGCCTGTGCCATTTTCACACCAAATGGTCCCAAGGAAAGCTTTTGCCAGTGGAAAGATCCAGAACAGCCCAGGCTGACTGTGCCAGGCAGATCCAGGTCGTGAACTCAGCTGAGCAGAAGGCCCAAAACATGAACTGAACAGAAATTCTCACCTTGTTTGATCGAGCCCCTGCCCCAGCACCCTTTTTCTTCTCATGCACCCTGTTGATATCCATGATGATGAACTCCTCCAGCTGCTTGGGGTGGAACAGGCTGTTGAAGGGGTGACGCCAGTAGGTGTTTCCATCGATTTCAGCAACTGGAAAATGATCAAGGAGAGAATCTCTCATGTAAGAAGAACCATTAACCAAAATGAAGGCAACTGCCAGCCATGTTTTATCACTGTAACACACTTACTGAGGATGTGACCCATATTGCTGCAGGAGCAGCTGATCTGGGACAGACTCCACTCAAAGGAATTATTCCCTGGATCCATCCTTTTAGAGGGGTTCTGCTGCCCAAGCTCACCAGCACACACCAAGCAAAGGACAGGATTGTGCTGGTACTGAAGTGGCTAAAAATTGAATCCAGATGCCCTCTAATTGTAGAGGAATGAACCTGACACAGGTGAAAGCTCCAGGAACTCAAGCTGAGCCTGCAGGTTCTGCAGGCTATGGAAACCGAGCTCGGAGAACTCGCAGTTCCCTACGGAATTTCTGCTGTACAGATAAATTTAACAACATGAAGGTCCAAAAATCCAAGATTTTGTGGAAACAAACCAACACTAACAGTGCCAGCAGAACAGTCAGGTGCTGAGGAAAAGCCCAAACTTACTCTGTAGAGTCCTGGGGTCAATGAGGTGGATGGTGCTGGTCACTCTGATGCACACACAGATCTGGCTCATGTTCCCCAGACTCTGGGCCAGCTTGGGTGACAGACACACAACGTTGTCCTGCAAACCAACACAGACAATTCACATTCCCATTTCCTCAATTTTTAACCTGATCTTCTGAAATAAAAATTTAAATTTTGGTATTTTTTTCTTTTTCTAGCCCCAGTAACTTCTGCATTTCCCATGTGGATCCCTCCCCACAACGTCCAAATCCCAACTCTTCCCACTTTCCACAACATCCTAAAGATGAAGCAGAGGGAAGCCACCTTGCAAATGGGAACGATTTCCACAGAGAAAGTGCTTTTGTAGTTGTAGACATTGCTGTGAATGTCGTGGGAGATCAAACGTTGGGATGATTTGGATCTGTAAAACATGAAAGCAGAGTTTTCAGGAAACAAGAGGGACACCACCTGGAACAGGAGATCCTTGGAACAAAGTGTCTGTGTCACAAATAAAAATATGAAGGAAACAGAGGTAAATTTTACCATGGCTAAATGGAAAGCATGGGACTTTCGTCTGTTTTGATTAAAATACAGATTCCTTACCCTTGCAATTAGAAAATTATTTTAACAAAATTATTTTAAAATGAAGGATTTAAGGCAGTTCCCCGAAGTTCTGAGTACTCAAGGCAATGAACAGGAGTGCTGCACCTGGATGGAACTGTGCACTGAAGGAAGTCCACCATCTTCTGGGCGTGTTGCTTGGAAGAGTAATAAAAATCCAGGCCATCTGAAAAGAAAGGAAGCACATCCATTTCTATTCTATTTTATCAAACATAATTCATTTCTTTTTTCATAATTCTTTTCTCTACACAGCTCCCAGCACACACACATGAAAACATCCATCATAAATCCAGGTTATTCTGCCTCCAGACCCACTCACCGTGGATTTCTTTGATCCTTAGTGTGTTTTGATGGAGCCTGTGCTTCAAAATCAGCTGCTCCAAATAGAAAAAAGTCTTCTTGTGCACAGTCTAAAACCAAACAAACACAAAAGCATCAAGGTTATTTAAGAAGCATCAGGTATAAAGCAGGATCTCTGAGAGTGCTCTACTTATACAAAATTATTTAAAGTTTCCATTTATCATTTTTGCATAACTGGTTGTTAGAGATCTATTTCCTTTAAAGAAGATTAAAATGTTTGTCCCAGTGTCTCCAAACTACCTTAAAGTACAGGAGGTTATTTAGTTATTCACACAAGATCCTCCTGCCTGCATAATTTTACAGAATGTTAATACTGGATAGCAGAAAGTTTTTCTAAACTGAGTATGAAAAAATTCAACAACCTTGAACACAAAACAAATCCCTGTGGCTAAGGGTGAGTATATTTTTGTCTGAGAAATCCAGAAAATCACCCAATTCTTTGCTTGATTGTTCTGCCCCAGTCAAATAAAAATTCAGTTTGCCTCTACCTTTTGCCTGACTTGCACCACAGCTTTCCAGAAATCCTTGGCTTCAATCCTGTGGCAGTCTTCACACATCTGAGACTGAACAATGTACTCCACCACAAACACCTGCTGCAGAACTGCCCCATTTATTACCTGCAGAACAAAAGTGCCCAAGGTTTAAGCTCTGTTTGGGTCACAAACAACAGCAATGTTTTCCCATCTTTACTGGGACAGTAACTTTCTTCATTCTGATGAATGGCACTTTAGTGACAAAATCTAGGCAGGATGAAAAATAATAATTAAAAAATCCTGTTGTTTGCCACAAAAGCTTTTTAGAAGCCACAGGGAGAAGGTTGTGCTCCAGTTACCTCTTTCTGAACAGTCAGTTTGAGCTTGAGCCTCTTGGAATGTGGTTCTGTCCAAATGAATCCTGCATCAATCAGCCGGACCTGCCCATGGGGAAAGACAAGAGCTCAGTAAAACCAAGTCTAACTCCAAAGCCACAAACAGTCCATAGTGAAGAAGTAAATCATCTTAATTAAAAAATTAATGTATTAATATCCCAAATCAAATTAATAGTGCTTGGCTAGAACATGGAGGTTGATTGATGTAAAATAAAGGTGCTCAGCTTCAGGTCTTTCCCTATAACAATATTCTGAACCTAAGGGATGCTTTATTCAACTTAAATGTGTGCATTTGAGTTAATCTACATACAGACCTCTGCAACCCTTTTTCATATCATCATAAACCAGTGAGAACAAATACTGCATAAATCATTTCTGAAATGCTCAGAAAACTCCGAAATTGAGGTACATAAAAAACACATCAGCTTCCCTCAGTTCATTCTGATCAGCTCCCATCTCTACAGTAGCAACTGTGACCAGGCTGTGAAATCCCAGCAGGATCAGCTTCTCACCTTGCTCAGGGAAGCTCTGAGTTTCTTCAGACACAAAGCCAGGAGCTCTCTCGATTCCAAGGCACACTGGATCCAGGTTCCTGGAGGCTGGAGATACCTGGGATGCAGGGAGCATTTTATAGCATGTTAAAGTTGCTTGAGCACCATAAATCACTCCAAGGATGAGCAGCTATTTCCAAAGCTTTCAGTTTAGTAGCACCAATGCAGCCACTTTTAGAATCATAGAAGATCATGGGAAAATGTCTAAGGTGACCGAGTTCATTCCCCCAGCACTGCCAAGGCCACCACTAAACCACATCCCCAAGTGCCACATCCATAGGACTTTTAAATCCCTCCGGGGATGGGGATTTCACCAGTGGCCTGGGCAGCTGTGCCAGGCTGGACAATCCTTTCCATGAAGAATTTTTGCCAGTATCCAAGCGAACCCTTCCCCGGCTGTCCCCTCCTCTCAGGGAGTTGTGCAGACCCAGAAGTTCCACCTGAGCCTCCTTTTCTCCGGGCTGAGCTCCCCGCTCCTCCTCACCAAACTCGTGCGCTTTTGCCTCCCTAAACCCTGAGACTGATGCACTCCAAGGGCATTTTGCTGCCATCCCCGCGATCTGGCGGCTCCTCACCTCTCGCACTGCTTGCAGAAGTGCACCGTGCCCTGCTTGGGGATGCCCTCGGTGATGTCCACCTGGGCCCGCAGGCAGCCCACGCACATGTTGGCCGGGTTGGGCGGGATGGGGACGCCGCACTGGCAGCACAGGCTGGGACACAGGGACAGAGAGAAGCACAGTCAGCCACAGGCACAATGCCAAGCACAGCCACC